AAAGGCCGGCTGTGGTGGGTCAAGCCTGTAATCCCAGCACTTTGGGAGGCCGAGATGGGTGGATCACGAGGTCTGGAGATCGAGACCATCCTGGCTAACACGGTGAAACCCCATCTCTACTAAATACACAAAACTAGCTGGGTGAGGTGGCGGGCGCCTGTAGTCCCAGAGAATGGCGTAAGCCCGGGAGGCGGAGCTTGCAGTGAGCTGAGATCCGGCCAACTGCACCCCAGCCTGGGCAACAGAGCAAGACTCTGTCTCAAAAAAAAAGAAAACAGCTCCCAGGTTTCTAATGTGGCCGTCTAGTCATGCCCCCCACATAGGGAGTGGGAGCCTGCAGACTCGATCCCCAGACTTCCAGAGCACAAGGGTCCCCTGGGTGCTTGTTGAACACCCACATTCCCAGCCTCTCCCTTGAGGCAGTTGTTCTGGAGGAGGGTCACAGAATCTGATTTGTTTTTTAGAGATAGGGTCTTGCTCTGTTCCCCTTCCTCTGATTGCAGTGACGCAATCATAGCTCACCACAGCCTAGAAATCCTGGGCTCAGGTGATCCTCCCACCTCAGCCTCCCAAGTAGCTGGGACTACAGGGGTGCACCACCACACCTGGCTAATTAAAAAATTTTTTTTTCTTTTTAGAGATGGGGTCTTGCTGTGTTGCCCAGGCTACTCTTGAACTCCTGGCCTCAAGTGATCCTCTTGGCTTGGCCTCCAAAAGTGCTGGGATTACAGGCGTGAGCCACTTCGCCCAGTCCCAGAATCTGATTTTTAATAAGTGCCCCAGGCCAGGTGGGAATCACTCCCAGCGGGGAGCAGTCTGGGAGCCTTGGGGAGGGCGGGGCTGGTCCTGGGACTGGCAGTGCAGGCAGTGCATATGCAGAGGCCCTACCAGGTATGCTTGGAGCCCCTGGTCGAAGGGGCATCTTACAAAGGGAAGGGGGCTGCGCATGTGGGCTAGGACTAACTAGGGGAGCCAGAGGTGGACCTACGAAATCGCCACATACCCCAGATCTTGAATGTGACACAAAGAACCTGGAGCCTCCCATGACTTCCCTAAGCCTGGAAAATTGAAAGCAAAACCAACGGGAGGCCGGACACAGTGGCTCACGCCTGTAATCCCAGCCCTTTGGGAGGCCGAGGCGGGTGCACCACTTGAGGTCAGGAGATCAAGATCAGCCCTACCAACAGAGTGAAACCCCGTTTCTACTAAATACAACAACTTAGCTGGGTGTGGTGGTGCATGCCTGTAATCCCAGATACTCGGGAGGCTGAGGCAGGAGAATTGCTTGAACCCAGGAGGTGGAGGTTGCAGTGAGCCGAGATGACACCATTGCACTCCAGCCTGGGCAACGAGCAAAACTCTGTCTCAAGAAAAAATTAATAAATAAATAAAATCAGGAGGGTTTATGGGAAAAGCCTCACTTCCGACTTATCTTGGGAACTGGAAGATTTGGTGCAAATTCCCTTAAGGCCATAACTGGCTGAAACTGACCATGGCACTGGGGACACGGCCTGGCCTGCCCTTGCCAGCCTGCTCCACGCCACCACAGCCATGCGCGAGTCCGACTCCTGTGAGAATCGGCTGGAATCCCTGAAGGGGGTCTGTCTTTTCACCATGGAGAGCTTCAGCAGTAAATGCCCTGTCCACTGGGGTGGGATGAACGGCAGTGGGCAGGGCTCCCGCTGGAAAGGGCTGTGAAAAGAGACAGCTTGTTCTGCAAGAGATGCTCTCGGTCGAGGGGGACTCACCAGGGGCTGCTGAGTGTCCCCAGGGTCTTTGCAGCGGTCCAGCCAGGGTTCTCTGAGAACACCCTGCGGCCAGCCACAGGCAACCAGGCTGTCTCCGAGACTGGCTGCGGGGGTGGGTGGGGCTGCTGTGGCCCTAGAGGTCTCTGAGGGGCTTTCACAGCAGTTCCTGGCACAGGACAGATGAGTCCTTTGACTCAGGTCTTCCTCCCCGAATAGGGAAGACCTAGGTTGTCCAGAATGGAGATCTTTTGACACAAGCGTACTTCTAATTCCTGTGTTTGGAAAGTTCTCTGGGTTTTTGAGCACTGCTCATATTTGGGCAACGGATGTATTTCAACAGAGCCTTAAAAGAACACAGCTGTTTTGGAGGTGAGAGGCTGCTGAGTCCTTCCGGGGAGGGCAGGAGTTGGGGGCCCCTTCCAGGATGACCAACGACTTGTCGGTGGCACAGCACCAGACACCGGGGAGCCTGCTGGCGAAATTCTGCTCTGCTTCCCGGGGTCATCTCTCATCTCCTGGGGAATTGCAAAGCCACGATCCTGATGGATTCCTTTTGCCCTCATCCCAGTGGAGCCATGAGCAAGGCGAGGGAGGCAGAGGAGACAAACCCTTCTGTGCCGGTTGCGTGTGTGAAAGGTCTCTGCCTAGAGCTCGCGCATCCATGGAGAGTCAGAAGTCAAGCCAGCCAGGACAGTGGGTGTGGGTGGCTAGAGGGAGCATGTGTTCATTCCCGCATGCCTAAGAAGTCGCTGCACGCCAGGCCCTCCCATCTGGTGCCTGAACTTCCACCCTGGGCGGTCCACCTTCGGGTACTCGCAGCGGGTACCTTTTCCAACACACATGTGCTGGCGTCCGTTGTTTATCCCTTAGTGTCAATGAGTTTACGATCCTTGAAAGGGAGAACACGTTCAATGACCTTTCACTTGCAGCGCTGGGTGGGTGGGGCGGGGCGGGGCAGCGCTGGGCTGGGCTGGGCCTGGCAGTGTGAGGTGGTCACCACACAACATCTCCTCTATTGTAGCAGCACCTAAAGGTGGGACCCTCCTTCCCCTTCCTGCCCACCCCCTTCACAGAGCCCTGTGTCCCTCCCTCCCTGGTCTCCCCTCCCCACATGACCAATTCATCTTTTTTTTTTTTTTTTTTTGAGACCGAGTCTCGCTCTTGTCGCCCAGGCTAGAGTGCAATGGCGTGATCTCAGCTCACTGCAACCTCCACTTCCCGGGTTCAAGAGATTCTCTTGCCTCAACCTCCCTAGTAGCTAGGATTACAGGTGTGTGCCCCCACACCCAGCTAATTTTTTGTATTTTTAGTAGAGATGGGGTTTCAGCATATTGGCCCAGACTAGTCTCGAACTCCTGACCTCAGGTGATCTGCCCACCTCGGCCTCCCAAAGCGCTGGGATTACAGGCAGGAGCCACCGCGCCCGGCCACGTTGTTTTTTCTGAGACAGGGTCTCACTCTGTCACCCAGGCTGGAGTGCAGTGGTGCAATCATAGCTCACTGCAGCCTTGACCTCCTGGGCTCAAGTGATCCTCCTGCCTCAGCCTCCCAAGTAGCTGGGGCCACACACATGCTCTACCATGCAGGGCGATTTATTTTTTTGTAGAGACTGGGTCTCACTGTTGCCCTGGCGGTCTGGAACTCCTGGATTCAAGCAGTCCTCCAGACTCTGCCTCCAGAAGTGCTGGTATTACAGGTGTGAGCCACTATGCCCAACCAAGCCACAACTGCAGCCCAGGGAGCAGTGCAAGCTTCCAAGGCTGCAGGCCCTACCCCTCTGCACTAGTGTGGGTTGGGGAGATTCTGCCTGCAGCTCCCACCTGGGACCAGGCCAAGGCCAGCCTGCCCCACACCCTCCCTTGGGCACTGCCTTCTTCTGGGACTGCTCCCCATGGGCCTGCTGTGGAGCCGGGGTCCCCACCTTCCCAAGCCCCTAGGCGGCCTGTGAGGAGGCAGAGGAGATGCCCCCAGGCCTCGATCCTCACCTGCTGGGCTGCAGAAACCCACTCCAGCCCTGGCTTGTACACCCAAGAAAGGGGCTGGGAGGGTGCTCTGGAGGGGTCCAGTGGGGACAGGCAGTGAGGGGCACTACGGAGAGTGGGGCCCAGCTTTGCAGGACCGGGGGATGCCCTGGGTGCCGTGTGTCAAGGTGGCCTGGCCTGGTGTCCCCCAGGAGCCCTCCCCTCCCAGCTCAGCAGAGAGGGTGCCTCCCTGCAGTGGGAGGGTGGAAGTCACAGGACCCAGCAGGTTCAGCCTCCTGGTGGGGCCCAGCAAGCTGGGGCCTCTTGCTCTGTGACCCTGGGTGCCTTCTCTCCTGCCCACGGGCTGAGCCTCGGGTGGCGGCCAAAGGAGGGACCAGCAAGTCCCACCTCCCTAAACAGAAGGTACCCCGCCAGTCCCCTCATCCGCGATCAGAAAAGTGGAAGATTTTGTTCTGGGCAAAAATGGCCTAAAATACTCATCTGTGGTATAGGAGTCGGGTGGGGGCCAGGGCTGCACCAGACAGCATCCCCAAGGCAGCTTGGACAGGTGTCACCCGGGTCAGGAGGGGCTTGGCCTCATTTGGACACAGTCTTTGGAGAAAAAAAAGAACAGCCAGGGTGGTTGCAGGTCACAGTGAGCTGGGCCAGGGACCATGAGGACAGTAGGAACAGAGTAGGCATGCAGTGTCCCCAGAATCTGATGGCCACCGGGGCCGGGGAGAGCCTGGAGCCCCAAGTTCCCTCCTAGGCAGCCAATGGGGAGTGAACGGGGAGCCCCTCCACCTCCCTCCTGGCAGCTCCCCACCAGCCCCTCAACTCCCCAGTGCCACCCCAGGGATCGAGTAGACGCTAGAGACCATGGCGGGGATCAGGCTTCACCCCTGCACAGGGACACTGTTTTAGTCTCTGAGATAGGATGGAACTGTCAATAGTACAGGAGAGAGCAAAACGGGACAGCATTGGGGTGAGAAAGGGAAGAGGGAGCAGGATTGAAAGGGAGGAAGTTGAATGGAGAGACAGACAAACTGTCAGAAGGGGAAGAAATGAGGCCAGAAGCATCGTGGGGAGGGGAGCCTGGGGGGAGCCCTCTGCTCTGCGTGCCAAGGTCAATCCCTCAATTGCTGCAGCGAGACGGTGTGGCCTCACAGTTGGCTCTTTTTCCACCAAACGCATTGGTGGTGAGCACGGGAACCAGAAAGACTTGAAACAGGCAAGTGGCACCTAGCCCTGGATGGGACGGCCATCCCAGAATATCCCACAGGCGCCGCACCAGCCTCCTCGTGGATCAGCCAAGAGGCAAATATAAACAATCAGATTTTGTTTTGAAAAAATTAATAACCAGTTACTGGTAGAAATAACATGAAATAAAAAGGATGCACACAGCCCAGTCTGGTTCCCGTGGGGAAACTGGTCTTGAAATAATGGCCCCCAAATGAAATGCACAGTGGCAGGAGCTGTAATTGGAAGTGATTCTAATGAAATCATTTCAGCAAATAAAAAGGAAAAGTGTTTTGTTTTGTTTTGTTTTTTGAGACGGAGTTGCGCTCTTTGTTGCCCAGGCTGGAGTGTAGTGGCGCTATCTTGGCTCACCGCAACCTCCACCTCCCGGATTCAAGCGATTCTCCTGTCTCAGCCCCCGAAGTGGCTGAAATTACAGGCACCCACCACCACGCCCAGCTAATTTTTGTATTTTTAGTAGAGATAGGGTTTCACCATGTTGGCCAGGCTGGTCTCGAACTCCTGACCTCAGGTGATCCGCTCACCTCGGTCTCCCAAAGTGTTAAGATTACAGGTGTGAGCCACCGTGCCCAGCTGGAGAAGTGTTTTTAAAACCACTTGGTGTTGCATTGAAAATGGATCAAGGAATTAAATTGGCTTGTTGGAAAGTTCACTCTAGACATCTGTGTTTATATGACAATGTAGAATGAGAACGTGCACTATGCTGTTTGTATTTATATGCACAGGATAAAACAGCCACTGGGTCAACATGGGAGTCCCCTACAAAGACCCCTCCCCTCTATCCAGGGCCCCAGCACGCTTTCTGGGCCAGGCTCAGGGCCCTGGGTCTCAGCTGGGGATGTGGAGGGGACCTGGTGCAGGGGGGAGGGCACATGGGTCTCAGCCTCGGACGTGGAGGGGACTTGGTGGGGGTGGGGGGCACATGGGTCTCAGCCTCAGACGTGGAGGGGACTTGGTGGGGGTGGGGGGCACATGGGTCTCAGCCTCAGACGTGGAGGGGACTTGGTGGTGGGGGACGCAGCGGGGTGGGGCTCACGGGTTGGCGGGCTCCTCTGGGGGCTTCCTGCTGACTCGGGACTCAATGTGTGGAGCTCTTGAGAGCCTGGTGGACCCTGGGGCCTGCTGGGGGTCCCTCAGGGGTGGAATCAGCGGTGGCAGCAGCGGCAGAGGTGGCAGGGAAGGTGGCCGAGCTGGCATCGTCGGATGAGGGCCTGAGGCAGCTGAGTGGGCACTGTTGCTGGGGCACAGGGCTGGGAGGAGCAGAAGAAACCCCAGATGTGTGCCAAGAACCTTTCTGGGAGACACTAGCCTGATAGGGCCATCCCCGCTAGGGAGAAGAGAAGCCCAGGACTAGAAGCGCTGTACAGGGCATGGCCGGCTGGGCGCCATACCTCGCCTGGGCCCTGGGCACCCTAAATGTCCTGGGTGGGTGACCCAATATAAATGAGACCAGAAATATTTGCTTAAGTGGAGCAGAGCCCCTGGGAAAGAACATGGAGCTTAGAGTCCACGGATCTGGGCTCAGCTTCCAGCTCACTAGCTCTGTGACCTTGGGCCACAGCTCAGGTGACCGAGCCTCCACTCCCTCCTCTGGGAAATAGGCAAACAGTGCCTATCTCACAGCAGTTGGGATGAGGTTCAGATGAGATAAGGGAGAAACTGCCTTGTAAACTGTAAAGTACCCTCAGATGCCTGCTACATGGTGATTTGAACCAGAGGAGCTCAGTTCCTTCTAACCTCAGCTCCCTTGTCCCCACCCCTGCAGCTGGGTAGACGCTAGGGACAGATGCCTGGCCTGGGCCCCGGGGATGGCACCGGGTCCCGGAAGCATCTCGGAAGTGCCATGGGCAGGCAAAGCAGGCAGGAGGTGGAGGAGGTGGACAGGAGAGCCCAGGCAGGGTGTGGGGGATGGGATGAGACGAGGCGGGACTGGAGACTCTTCCAGAATCACAGCTGGGCTGGGGCTGGGAGCCAGGTACTCACGGGGGCAGATGGCACCCAACAGGGCGCTGGAGTGCACACGGTCATACAGGCTTTGTGACGGGGGACACGGAGCCTTCACAGCTTAGCAGAAAAGAAAAGAAGAGACAGGTGTGGGTGGCATCCACCCCTGGGCCTGTGTCAGGCCGATCCCAGCACCGGCCAGGCTTCTCCCTCTGTGGGACCAGCCCCATTTCCCAAACCTCCTGGTCCATTCCTTTATAAGACAATGTACCTCCCTCCTTGCCCTCTTTTATTTTATTTTATTTTTTCTTGAGGCAGTGTCTTGCCCTGTCGCCCAGGCTGGAGCTTACACAGCCTTGAACTCCTGGGCTCAAGCTATCCTCCTACCTCAGCCTCCCGAGGAGCTGGGACTACAGGTGTGCGCCACCACTCCCGGTTAATTTTTTAAATATTTCTTAGGGAGGAGGTCTCACTATGTTGCCCAGGCTAGTCTGAACTCCTGGGCTCAAGCTATCCTCCCACCCTAACCTCCCAAAGTGGTGAAATTACAGGCGTGAACCATTGCGCCCAGCCTTCCTTGCCTTCTTGAGTCAAGAGTGTCTCAAGGCTAAGATAGAAAAGGAGCCTCTTTGAAAGAAACTCAAGGCCAGGGAGGAGTGCAACGTGACTCCAGCACAGTAAGACACAGGTGAAATGTGGGCAGGGCTATTTATGGTTTAACTGTCCCACTGGGGGCCAGAGCACGAAAATGCCCCCACCCGCATCTTCCTGTTCTTCATCTTTTTTTTTTTTTTTCATTATTCGAAGTAAAATCCACATGAAGTAAAATTAACCAGTTTAAATGCACAATTCAGAGGCATATAGGACACGCACAGCGTTGCACACCACCACCGCGACCTTGTTCTGAAACATTTCCATCACCCCAAAAGGGGCCCTGTCCCCGTTAAGCAGTCACTCTCCCTTTAAACCCTAGCCCCTGGAAATCACCAATTTTCCTTCTGTCTATAGATTTTTCTATTCTGGACATTTCTTTTCTTTTTTCTTTCTTTTTTGTTTGAAACCAAGTCTCATTCTTTTGCCTAGGCTGCAGTGCAGTGGCGCAATCATGGCTCACTGCAGCCGGAACCTCCTGGGCTCAAGTGATCTACCAGCCTCAGTCCCCCAAGTAGCTGAGACTACAGGGTGCCTCACCACGCCCTGCTAATTTTTGTATTTTTTGTAAAGGCGGGGTTTCACCATGTTGCCCAGGTTGGTCTCGAACTTCTGGGCTCAAGTGATCCTCCGGCTTCAGCTTCCCAAAGTGCTGGGATTACAGGTGTGAGCCACTGTACCTGGCTTTGAGTCTGTTTTGAGTTAGAAAGTTCTTCTGGGGAAATAAATGAGTGACAACAACAAACTGATCAAGATCTGGCCACAGACAGGTTTCCAACTGATTTCTAATACAGAACGTCCCTGATTTACGATGGTTTCACACTTACCACTTTTCAGCTTTAACATGGTATAAATCTGTCACAATTTCAATATAATATATAGTAGTCAATAAGTTACATGAGGCCGGGCGCAGTGGTTCACACCTGTAATCCCAGCACTTTGGGAGGCCGAGACAGGTGGGTCACTTGAGGCCAGACGTTTGAGACCAGCCTGGCCAACATGGCAAAATCCCGTCTCTACTAAAAATACAAAAAGTATCCAAGTGTGGTGGCGCACGCCTGTAGTTCCAGCCATTTGGGAGGCTGAAGTGGGAGGATTTCTTCAGCCCCAGAGGTTGAGATGGCAGTGAACTGAGATCGCCCCACTGCACTCTAGCCTTGGCAACAAGAGTGAAACTCCATCTCAAAAAAAAACAAACATAAAGCAGTTGACGCCATCATGATTCCAGTCCTGGCTTGCTGTGTGGGTCCTGGGAATGAATAAGCCAAGGTGGAAAGCCCCTCCCTATAGGGTGACAGTCCTTGGGGAGGTCAGTGGATGAGTGGGGACAGGACTGGGTGCATCAGATGTGGACTCCATCTGCCCTGGCCCTCCAGCAACCAGCCCTCAGCTGGTCATTTGTGAAACTCCTTGGCAGGTTGTTGGAGGGTGAAGGAGGTGGGGCAGGGCCTGGCATGAAGTCGCGGTTCATTAAATATTAAATATTAGCCACTGTTGTGATCCTACCTGGTGATCCCTGACGCCCAGCCTGAGCCCTCCCAGCAGATACCAGGCAGGGGGCAGGGACTGGAACGGCCAGTCCTCTCCAAGACGAGCCACATCCCACCAGGGAGAATGCAGGGTTTGAGATGGTGTCTGGCTCGCTTGGAAACAGGGTGTGTTGAATGGTGCTCTCCAAAAAGAGACATCTCCTAGAAGCTGTGAATGTGACCTTATTTGGAGCAAGGGTCTTTGCAGGTATAATTAGGTTAAGGATCTTGGGATGAGATCTTCCTGGGTTAGGTCGGGCACAAATCCAAAGACAAATGCCCTTATGGGGGACAGAGGAGAGGACACACAGAAGAGAAGCCCACATGGGGACAGCGGAGTGCCAGGGAGTGCCAGGGAGTGCCAGCGGCCCCAGAAGCTGAAGAGCCAGGGAGGGAGTGCAGCCCTGCTGACCCCTTGATTTAGCATTTCCAGCCTCCAGGACAGTGGGAGGATCAACTCTGGCTGTATTTTGTTGTTGTTGTTGTTATTTGGCTTTATTCTATTCTTTTTTTTTTTTGACAGGGTCTGGCTGTGTCGCCCAGGCTGGAGTACAGTGATGAGATCATGGCTCACTGCAGCCTCAAATTCCTGAGCTCAAGCAATCCTCCTACTTCAGCCTCCTGAGAAGCTGGGACTACAGACACACACCACCATGCCCAGCTAATTTGTTGTTGCCCAGGCTGGAACTTCAGCTGTTGTTGTCTTTTTTTTTTTGAGACGGAGTCTCACTCTGTCGCCCAGGCTGGAGCGCAGTGGCACGATCTCGGCTTACTACAACCTCTGCCTCCCGGGCTCATGCCATTCTCCTGCCTCAGCCTCCCCAGTAGCTGGGACTACAGGTGCCTGCCACCACACCCAGCTAATTTTTTTAGTATTTTTAGTAGAGATGGGGTTTCACCGTGTTAGCCAGGATGGTCTCGATCTCCTGACCTCATGATCCACCTGCCTCGGCCTCCAAAGTGCTGGGATTACAGGCGTGAGCCACCGCGCCCGGTCAATGGGCTGGCATGCCGCATGGGTCAGGAATGAAGGAACTTCAGCTGTTTTAAGCCACCCTACTTGTGGTAATTTGTCTTGGCAGCCCCAGAAGACGAATGCAGGGTGTCTCCTTCTTTGCCCAGCACGCTGATGAAACAGTCCCCCTTTCCTTTCTTCCATGTCTGGTGTTTAGTCTTTGAGTCAATGAAGGCACAGCGGTGGCAAGAAAGAATTTCTGCTGGAGGGCCAGGCACAGAGGCTCATGCCTGTAATCCTTGCACTCTGGGAGGCTGAGGCAGGTGGATCACTTGAGGCCAAACATGGTGAAACGCCATCTCTACTAAAAATGCAAAAATTTAGTTGGGCATGGTGGCGCACACCTGTAGTCCCAGCTACTCAGGAGGCTGAGGCAGGAGAATCGCTTGAACCCAGGAGGTGGAGGTTGCAGTCAACCGAGATCGCACCACTGCACTCCAGCCTGGGCAACAGAGCGAGACTCTGCCTCAAAACGAACGAACGAACAAACAAACAACAAAAAACCTCAGAATTTCTGCGGGTGGAGTTCAGGCCCCGGCCGTCTTGTGGCTCCAGGACCACTCCTTATGGGGCGGTGTGTGGCTCCCACCCAGGGGCAAAATTTAGAACTCCTCATCCCCAAGGGGGAAGAGCCTTCGAGGGTTGTGTAGAGAACCCAGTGATGGACTCGAACCCAGTGATGGACTCCAGAGTCTTGGGGTCCCAGCAGGAGCCGGCCAGAGCCGGGCCTCAGCACTGCAGCAACCACATCGACTGATTCCAGATGTGCACATGTCTGGGTCTCCCACTGACCCAACCCTTGCCTGTGATATTAACACACAGCCTCTGGGGTCTGGCCCAAGTCTCCTCCTTGTCACCCCACTGCCCCACCCCAGTCTCTGCCCTCCAGGGAGACTTGGCGTCCTGAGCTCCTGCCTGTGCCTGGCTTCCACCCACCACAGGGCCTTTGCACACACCGTTCCTGCCACACGACCACTCTCCTCTAACCTGACTCCTTCATCCAGCTAAGTCTGAGTCCCTCTTCAAGGGCTTCAGGGTCTAACCTGACTCCTTCATCCAGCTGAGTCTGAGTCCCTCTTCAAGGGCTTCAGGGTCTAACCTGACTCCTTCATCCAGCTAAGTCTGAGTCCCTCTTCAAGGGCCTCAGGGCAGCTGTCCAGTCCCCCCTCCGTGGACTGGCATCCCTTGGCACCCACCTAGCACCCTTCCTAGCCCATGGTTCTTCGTCACAGGCCATGGTCCTGTGGCCATGGCCCTCCCTCTGCTCAGCTGTTGATCTCAGCAGCAGCAGATCCTCGCTCTTGCAGTCTCCCTCCCCCATTGCAAAGACCGAGTCTCCTGGGGGCCTGCTGTGACCTAATTTTTGTGACTGATTGTGTGAGGACTCCCTGGTCAGGGATAGTGCTGGCTCTGGGCCCCACCTGCACCCTCTCACCCTGCCCAGCAGAACCAGGACCCCAGGCAAGGGTGCCCTAGGAGCCCGATGCCCCTCACCTGCCAGCTCCTTTGCAATGGCCGAGGGCTGAGCCCCCCTCTGGCTGTTCATGCGGCCTTTGTACAGGATCCCATCCACGCCCAGGATGTCCACCTCAGCCTGTTGGATGGCCCAGGTCCTGGGTTAGGGAGCCCCTGACCCAGCCTCCCCTGAACTTTGGTGCACACAGAAGCCCAGAAGACTTCTGCTGGGGTCGCCCACTGCTCGGGGCCTGGTCCCACACTTGGGGCTGGGGTGCGCTGACGTCCACCCTTCGGGAAGGAGGCCCCGGCCAGACTCACGCTGTCATAGTCGATCATGTGGGGATCCCCATAGGGATAGAGCGTCGACAGGTTGCAGGACTTGCACTTGAGGCTGGCGGCGTTTTGGGGGCCGTCACCCCAGTCCTGCTGATAATCCTCCTGGATACTGAGGTCCTGGCACTGCAGCCGCTGCTGTTCCCTGTGGCAGGGCAGTGGGTCAGCAGCGACCTGGAGACCCTGCACCCCAGAGCCCAGGATGGGCCCAAGGGCCTGGCCAGCATCGAGGGAAGACCAGCATTTCTTTCAGTTTCTGTTTAGCTGGCACAGCCAGGCAGGCATGGGGCCTGGATGGATACAGATGCACACAGTGGGGCAGAGGAATCAAATTGAGACCTGCATTTCCCCAGACCCAGCCATTTCCCTTTGGACCCCTGGCCCGAAGAGCGTGTCCTTCTAATCTCTTGATCTCAAGGAGCCAGGGAGGGAGGGTGACAGAGTCAGCGCAGGCCCCCATGTCCCTCCCATTCCCATGGCTGTGGTAACTATTCACCAGTTCTTCCCCCAGCTGGCCAGATGTCCCCATAGCAGGGTTGCAGGCTGGGGAGGTCCATAGAGCCGTGGGATGTCAGGAGGTTGAGGGGTGGGGCTGGGACCTAGGGAGCCAGCTGGGTGCAGTGGAAACCTGAGGGTTTGGACATCAGCCCTCCCACTTGCTAGCAGTGACCTTGGGCAGGTCATTGCAGTTCTCTGAGCCTCAGTTTCTTCAACTGTGACATGGGATGGCACCAGGATACATCTTAGAGGGCAGCTGTGAGGACTCAATAAGGCGTTCTTCGCATAGTGCCTGCCAGGCACAGCAGCGGCTAAGGGTCCCCCATCATCACCGATTTCCTCCGCCAAGAGACAGGGGACATGGGCATAGGAACCCTAGCTCACAGGAGGTTGTGAGATTTAAATAAGAAACCCTCTAACAGTTTTTGGCCCACAATAGATGCGCAGTAAATATGTCAGTTCCTCCGTCCGCCATCATCTCGTGGGCCTGTCTGCTGCCCCAGCCACCTCTCAGAGTGCCTGTCTTGCGAAGGGCTGGCCATGTCCAGGACAATCTTAGGTCCCTGGGCCTGGAGGATGTGTCTCTGCAGGAACAGGGTTCCCAGGCCCCAGAGCGGCCTCCATGCGGGGCGCCCACCCTGCTCACCTCATGTGTTGCCGCTGCAAGTACTCGTAGCTGTTGGCGCTGGCTGGCCGCAGCCGGGACAGCAGGTGGGCTTTGCGGATGGTGATCAGATGTCTGTTGGAGGACAAGGGTGCAGCAGGGGTTGTGGGAGGCGTGCCAGGCCAGCAGAGGGCTCAGCTCCCACCCTTCCAGGAAGCCTTCCCAGTAGGAGGAAGGAGGTGCAGGCTCAGGTCGCCACCCTCAAATGCCAGAAGCGTCCACAGCATAGAAGTAGAAGAGGCCCCCCCGAGAGGCATCTCAGGAGCTCTGATCATCACAGTAAGACACAAAAAACAATTGTTCTATTTCCAAAAGCAAAAGCCAGGCTAGGTGCGGTGGCATACACCTATAATGCCAGCACTTTGGGAGGCTGAGGTGGGCAGATCACTCAAGGTCAGGAGTTTGAGAGTAGCCTTGGCAACATGGCCTTTTTTTTTTTTTCTGATATGAGGTCTCACTGTCACCCAGGCTGGAGAGCAGTGGCACAATCCTAGCTCACTACAACCTCACACTCCCGGGTTCAAGCCATCCTCCCATCTCAGCCTCCTGAGTAGCTGGGACTATAGGCAGGCACCATCACACAAGGCCACATATTTGTATATTTTTGATGGCTGTAGAACAGCATATGTGGACATGTGTATCTTGAAGGCTGGGGAACCCTGTATATGAATGTGGATACACATGGCACATACAGAAGAGTGTATGGACTTGATGGTGCAGAACAGTGTATGTGGATGTGTAGACACCTGGTGCATACAGAATGGTGCACGTGGACGTGTATGGACTCGATGGCTGGAGAACGCTGTATATGGATGTGTAGACACACAGCGCGCGTGGAACAGTGCACATGGAGGGGCATGGAGAAAACATCCACGGGCCCCACAAGCCCTTAGGGCCAGGGCACCCTGGGCGGCGGTACTCACGGGCCAGTCATCATCTCCACGGGCCGGTCACAAGAGATGCACTTCACGTGCTCGAACAGTTTCCTGAAAGGCACACGGTCCTCAGCCGCTGCCCCTGCTGGGCCCAGGCCATGTGCAGGAGGCTGCAGCCAGCCCGGGCCCCAGGGCTGAACCCCTCCCACGAGTGCCCGGCCCAGCTCAGCCCCACAGGTCCTGCAGTCTCCAACCACCCTTGTGGTTTCTCTGCCGCCCCAAACACAAGGGATGGCCTTTAAAGCTGTGTGAGGGGTGGTCTGAGGACAGGAGCCTCAAAAATATTGGGTCCCTCTGCCTGGGGCACTGTCTGGGTGGGGGTCGGGGTCCTGGATCTGCCCAGGTCCCCTTCCCTCTCTGAGCCTTGGTTTCCCCATTGGCGGGAATAGGGCTGGATCACCTCTGCCAGCTCAGGACAAAGCTTCCCTCCTCCTCGGTGCTGTCAGCCACAGCCAAGCCCCTGTCCCCCATCCACAGGTCTGGAATCTTTCCTCCCACAGCTTCCAGGGTGTGTCCCCCACAGCCTGGGCAGCAGGATTCCTACCAGGAGGGGCTTGGGCGGGCACTCACCTTCTAAAGCCGGCAGCACTGTCAGGATCCAATCTTAAGCCCTCAATCAGCAGCTTCCGGACTATTTTCCAGACCTCTTCCATTTCTTTCTTCAATGGATCCAGATCACTGTGGACTAGCTGCCAACAGCCAAGGTGAAGAAAAGAAAGAATAGTCATGAGTTCACACCCAGTCTCCTTCCAGAAGAGGGGTTGCAGCAACCTGGGGAGTTACAGGGTGTAACAAAATTCAACTAAACTAGTGAGGGAGTCCAGGAAAGGGAAAATGACACAGCTTCAATGAGGCTCAACCCCTACTAGATGCTATTGGTAGAGAGGAGCTGCAAGGTGAGCTTCCTGGCAGCCAAAGCAAAAAACACCATCAGCTACTGTCTCCAAAGGCCAAATCAAACCAAGCTCAACTGCAGGCAGGGAGGTCTGAGAAACCTTTCTCACAATGGTTCCGCTGCACCTGACATTCACACACTCAACACATGTTTATTGAGGGTCTGTATGTAAAGTGGGCAGGTTTATGGCATTTAGTATATTTACAGAGTTGTGAGACCATCATAATCAATCGTATTTATTTATTTTTAATGTTATTTATTTATTTTTGAGATGGAATCCCTCTCTATCGCCCAGGCTGGAGTGCAGTGGTGCGATCTCTGCTCACTGCAACCTCTGCCTCCGGGTTCAAGCAATTCTTCTGCCTCAGCCTCCCAAGTAGCTAGGACTACAGGCACGTGCCACCATGCCTGGCTTTTTTTT